TATGCTTTAGTATAGATCAGTCTATAGTCTTGACTATAGATCAGTCTATAGTCCTGACTATATATCACTCTATAGTCTTGGCTATAGATCAGTCTATAGTCTTGACTAGAGATCAGTCTATAGTATTGACTATGGATTATTCTATAGTCTTGACTAGAGATCGGTCTGTAGACTTGAATATTCATCAACATATGGTCCTAACTATAGAACGGTCTATAGTCCTGACTATGGAACAGTGTATAGTCTATGGTCTTGACTACAGATGTGTCTATATTCTTGACTATAGGTCAGTCTATAGTCTTGACTATAGGATAGTCTGTAGTCTGACTGTAGATCAGGCTATAGGCTAGAATACAGATCAGTCTATAAGATTGAGTATAGATCAGTCTATAGTTTTGACTATAGATCAGTCTATAATCTTGACTATAGATCAGTTTATAGTCTTGACTATAGATCACTCTATAGTCTTGCCTATAGATCAAGCTATAGTCTTGGATATATATCAGTCTCTAGTCTTGACTATAGCTCAGTGTATAGTCTTGACTATAGATCAATCTATAGTCTTCAAAATAGATCAATCTATAATTATGACCATAAATCAGTCTATAGCTTTGACTATAGATCAATTTATATTCTTGACTATAGATCAGCCTATAGTCTTGACTATAGATCCGTCTATACTATGAAAAATATATCAGTCTATAGTCTTGACTAAAGATCAGCCTATGGTCTTGAAAATAGATCAGTCTATATGTGGTCTTATGTTCCCAAGATATTGACGAAGGAACAAACATTCAAGGAAACATTCATTTCGATCTAACTAAACTTTGCTTTAGTTAAGAACTTCCATAACTTTTGTTTTATGTTCACCCTATTAAACAATATAGAGATAAAATCCAATATTTAGTGAAATTTTTTAATATATTTGAATACAAAACTGATGCAGCTTTATTTTGAAGGTTGTACGGAATCACTAATGATGTAATAATTGGGAGTGTTTGTACAAAAGAAAGCGAAAACAAATATGGAGTTAAACTTAAATGATTTCTCTCGTTGTGAACTATTTTAAATAATAACAAAATAAAAACGAGATATGTTAGTTAAAGGTTAACAGACCCTTTTTGGAAAATTATAACTAAGCTATATAATGCCCTTATAATTGTTTTAAGATAAACTAAAAACTAATTATAAATATATACTACAATTTTAAACGTTTGTTTTTGTTTTTTAAAATTGACTACTTGTTGATAACATTATTTCAGTTCACAGTTCAAAATGTAAACAAGTTTCTTGTTAAACTATTGCTTCAACTTTTTTTATATAACAAATATATAAACTTATTATTTTTAAATATATTTTTGTTTGGTTTTAACACTAAGACTTTGGGTTAATGTATGGATTATGGTTTGTGCCAAAAAAAAAAAACACTATTTAACATTTTAAGACCTACACAAACGTTAAAAGTGTGCATGTTTAAAAGAAATTTAATTTATAAATTTATAAAACAAAACCATAAAAAATTACAAATTGAAAAAACAAGTTTTTTTTATGGAATAAATTACAAATAAAGATGCTGGGCATTCATTCACTAGTTTGCTAAAAATTTTTGCAACAACCATAAAATATTTGTAAAGAAAAACATTTTAAATTAAACTAAAAAGTTTGTCAAAGTTCATTGTCTAAGTCTTTTGTTTTTGAGAAAAGCTTTTAAGCCCTCCATTAACTGTCACCACCATTTGATATCGGTATTGTTATGTAAATTCTTTAACAAAAAGAAATATGATTGATATACACAAATTAAGTTTTGTTTGGATGACTTATTAAAATTTTTACCTTAACTTTGGTTCAATGCTCTTAATTAGTTTGACTTTTAATGTAATTTCCGCTTAATATTATGATTCATGTTGGTTGTCTTAAACAGTATGGGTAATATGTATTACAAATTAAAATACAGGAAAGTTTTATTGTTTTGTTTATGCAAAATTAAAACAAAACAGTTGGATTTGAATCAGTTTATAGACTTGACTATAGACTAATCTGTAGACTTGACTGCAGATTAGTCTATAGTGTTGACTATAGATCAATCTATAGTATTCACGGTAGATCAGTCCATATTCTTGACTATAGATCAGCCTATAGTATTGTTTATTGTCTATCAGTCTATAGTTTGGCATATAGAACAGTCTATAGTCTTCACTATAGAACAGTATATAGTCTTGACTATAGAACAGTCTATAGTCTTGACTATAGAACAGTCTATAGTCTTGACTATAGAGCAGTCGATAGTCTTGACTATAGAGCAGTCCATAGTCTTGACTATAGAGCAGTCCATAGTCTTGACTATAGAACAGTATATAGTCTTTACTATAGAACAGTATATAGTCTTGACTATAGTACAGTCTATAGTATTGACTATAGTACAGTATATAGTCTTGACTATAGTACAGTCTATAGTCTTGACTATAGTACAGTCTATAGTCTTGATTATAGTACAGTCTATAGTCTTGACTATGGTACAGTCTATAGTCTTGACTATAGAACAGTCTATAGTCTTGACTATAGAACAGTCTATAGTCTTGACTATAGAACAGTCTATAGTCAAGACTATAGACTGTTCTATAGTCAAGCCTATAGAACAGTCTATAGTCTTGACTATAGAACAGTCTATAGTCTTCACTATAGAACAGTATATAGTCTTGACTATAGTACAGTCTATAGTATTGACTGTAGTACAGTCTATAGTCTTGACTATAGTACAGTCTATAGTCTTGACTATAGTACAGTCTTGACTATAGAACAGTCTATAGTCTTGACTATAGAACAGTCTATAGTCTTGACTATAGAATAGTCTATAGTCTTGACTATAGAACAGTCTATAGTCTTGACTATAGAACAGTATATAGTCTTGACTATAGAACAGTATATAGTCTTGACTATAGAACAGTCTATAGTCTTGACTATAGAACAGTCTATAGTCTTGGCTATAGAACAGTCTATAGTCTGGACTATAGAACAGTCTATAGTCTTGACTATAGAACACTTTATAGTCTTCACTATAGAACAGTATAAAGTCTTGACTATAGAACAGTCTATAGTCTTGACTATAGAACAGTCTATAGTCTTGACTATAGAACAGTCTATAGTCTTGACTATAGAACAGTCTATAGTCTTGACTATAGAACAGTCTATAGTCTTGACTATAGAACAGTCTATAGTCTTGCCTATAGAACAGTCTATAGTCTTCACTATAGAACAGTACATAGTCTTGACTATAGTACAGTCTATAGTATTGACTGTAGTACAGTCTATAGTCTTGACTATAGTACAGTCTATAGTCTTGACTATAGTACAGTCTTGACTATAGAATAGTCTATAGTCTTGACTATAGAACAGTCTATAGTCTTGACTGTAGTACAGTCTATAGTCTTGACTATAGTACAGTCTATAGTCTTGACTATAGTACAGTCTTGACTATAGAACAGTCTATAGTCTTGACTATAGAATAGTCTATAGTCTTGACTATAGAACAGTATATAGTCTTGACTATAGAACAGTATATAGTCTTGACTATAGAACAGTATATAGTCTTGACTATAGAACAGTCTATAGTCTTGACTATAGAACAGTCTATAGTCTTGACTATAGAACAGTCTATAGTCTAGACTATAGAACAGTCTATAGTCTTGACTATAGAACACTTTATAGTCTTCACTATAGAACAGTATATAGTCTTGACTATAGAACAGTCTATAGTCTTGACTATAGAACAGTCTATAGTCTTGACTATAGAACAGTCTATAGTCTTGACTATAGAACAGTCTATAGTCTTGACTATAGAACAGTCTATAGTCTTGACTATAGAACAGTCTACAATCTTGAATATAGAACAGTCTATAGTCTTGACTATAGAACAGTCTTTAGTATTGACTATAGAACAGTATATAGTCTTGACTATAGAACAGTCTATAGTCTTGACTATAGTACAGTCTATAGTCTTGACTATAGTACAGTCTATAGTCTTGACTATAGTACAGTCTATAGTCTGCCTTGACTATAGAACAATCTATAGTCTTGACTATAGAACAGTCTATAGTCTTGACTATGAAACAGTCTATAGTCTTGACTATAGAACAGTCTATAGTCTTGACTATAGAACAATCTATAGTGTTGACTATAGAACAGTATATAGTCTTGACTTTAGAACAGTCTATAGCCTCGACTATAGATTAGTTTAAAGTCTTGACTATAAATCAGTCTTAAATGTTGACTATAGCTCTGTCTACAGTATTGATAATAGATCACTCTATATTGTTGACTATAGATCAGTCTATGGTGTTGACTGTAGATTGGTCTATATTATTGACTATAGATCAGTCTATAGACTAGACTTAAATCAGTTTATTTTCTTAACTATAGATCAGTTTATAGATCTATAGATAAGCCTATAGACTTGACTGTAGATTAGTCTATAGTGTTGACTATAGAGCAGTCTATAGTGTTGACAGCTTATATTCTTGACTATAGATCAGTTAATAGTCCTGACCATAGATCAGTCTATAATAAGGACTTAGATCAGTCTATAGTTTTGAATATAGATCAGTCTATAGTCTTGATTGTAGATCAGTTTATTGTCTTGACTATTGATCAGTTTATAGCCTCGACTATAGATCAGTTTAAAGTCTTGACTATAAATAAGTCTATAATGTTGACTATAGATCTGTCTATAGTATTGACTATAGATCACTCTATAATCAATTTTTCTTTTTTTCTACAACAAAATCTCTTTCATTTGTAAATTAAATTCCATTTAATTTCAATTAATTAATTGTTACATGTTTAGACAGATACTTATCAATACTATAAGCTAACTATTTAATTAATTACAAAATGTTGTAAAAAGAAGCCAACAAAAGTCTTTAGAAAATTACCTCATCTTCAACGAAAAGTGTAAAAAACCTATAACTTTTATTTTATTTCTGTTTCTTTTTCCCTATTTACAGCTCTTAACAAAAACACAAATCTATAAATTACTATTTATAACACTGGCTCTATGTTGTCTCATAAACAGTGGTAATGCACGTAAATTACCGAAAACCCATACCAATGTCAATGGTACAGATGTTGCAACATCAGCTAAAGTGGATAAAACGGAAGTATCTACAACAGAAACAACAGCAGTAGCAGCAGCAGAGGCCATAAAAGAAACCGAAAGCAAGTCATCCGAAGAAGAAGAAGATGGCGATGAAGAAGATGACAGTGATACAGCTGATAAAGCCGATAATGAAGATAATGATGAAGACGACGATGATGATGAAGATGAAACAGCAGAAAAAAATGCTTTACAACCGGCCGCTGATTCATCTCTCAGTGTTTGGGGTATTGTTAGAGGTTTTTGGAATTGGATTAGGGAAGACATAAGTGAAAGCCTATTTGGTGATGATGGTAAAACTACAGCAGCGGTTGGAGGTGAGTAGATATTTAACTATATTGAACAAATATTTAATTTATACTTTTTTTATTTCGACTATAATTACTTAACATTTATGTAATTTAATATGTGTACTCGGACTCTTTAATACTGTTATACTAGTTGTTTGGTTTTCTAGGTCTGAGAAAAAGTGTTAAAAATGTCAATATGTTTAACGGTTTCACTTTCAATTTCATCAGTTAAGTGTTAATTAACTCTTTGACAGAGAGTTTGTTGTTTGGTTTAAGTTAAATTGTTGCAATTATTGGAATTTTTGAGAAAAATATTTGAAATATTTTGATAGAAACTGTTATATATAATATTTTCTTTACAAAAATTCTTATACAGAAAACTTTATACAAAAAAACTGTTATACAGAATATTCTCTTTAAAAAATTGTGAACAACATTTTCTTTAGAAAGAACTTTTCTACAACAAAATGTTATACGTTATACGAAATTTATCTTTACCAAAGAACTGTTATACAAAAAGTCTTCTGTAGTAATAACCTGTTTTACATTTTTTAGCAAAAACTGTTATACAGTTTTCTTTACAGAAAACTGTTTTATAGAATATTTCTTTAGAAAAAAAGAGGTATACGAAGTTTTTTCTTAGTATTTTCTTAGCTGAGCATTTTTGATAAAAAATTGTTATACAGAAATTTGTTTATTATAAGGAAATTTTTCTTTTGAAAAACTGTTATACAGAAAACTATTATACAGAAAACTATTATCCAGAAAACTTTTTTATGAAAAAACTGTTATATAGAAATGTTCCTTTGGAAAAATGTCTATACAGAAAATTGTCTTAATAAAAAAACTGTTATACATAAAGTTTTCGTTAGAAAAATGTTATACAAAATATTTTCTTAAGAAAAAACTCTTATACACGAATTTTTCTTTTGAAAAAAAAAAACAGTTTTACAGAAAATTTTCTTAATAAAAAAATGGTTATACAGAAATTTTTAGAGAAAAAAATCGTTAACAAGAAAACTGTTATACATATTCTTTAGAGAAAACTGTTGTACAGAAAAATTTCTTTGGAAAAAACTGTTATACTGTGTATTTTATTTTTAAATATTATTATACCGAAAATTATAGTTAAGAAAAAACTGTTATATAGAATTATATTCTATATAAAGTATTTTATTCATTAAAAACTATTATATACAAAAGTTAAATATTTTACAAAAAATTTCAGTTAGAAAAAACTGTTATACAGATATTATCTTATTGGAAAAAAACTATAATAAAAAAACACCCTTTGGAAAATTTTTGTTAGAAAAAAACTGTTATACAAATATAGTCTTAAGAAAAAATTCTTATACACTAAAATTCTTAAGGATGAACTGTTTTATGTAACACATTTTTTGAGAAAAGAGTTACACGAAGTTTTTCTTTACAGAAAACTGTTATACAGAAAACTTTCTTTAGAAAAAACTATTATACAAGGTATTATAGTTACAAAAACCTGTTATATAAAAAATTTTCTTTAGAAACATTTTGTTATGCAGAAAATTATATTTATAAAAAACTGTTATATAGCATATTCCCTTAGAAGAAATTGTTATAAGATTTTTTTAAGAAAAACTGTTATACAAAAGTTTACAAAAAAAAACTGTTATACTGTAACTGTTAATTTATCAAAACTGTTAATATAGCATATTTCTTTAGATGAAATAGTTTTTTAAGAAAAACTGTTATACAAAAGTTAATTTTATAAAAAAAAGTGTTATACTGTTATACAGTAACTGTTAATTTATAACAAACTGTTAATATAATTATAAAAAACTGTTATTTCTTTAGAAGAAATTTCTGTTTGTTTTAAGAAAAACTGTTATACAGAACTAGAACTGAACTATACAGTAACTGTTAAATGTTAACAAACTGTTAATATAATTATAAAAAACTGTTATATAGCTTATTTCTTTAGAAGAAATTTCTGTTTGTTTTAAGAAAAACTGTTATACACAATTTTTCTTAAGAAAAAACTCTTATGCAATATAATTCTTAAAGAAGAACTGTTATACTTAACACATTTTTTGAGAAAATAGTTACTCGAAGTTTTTCTTTACAGAAAACTGTTATACAGAAAACTTTCTATGGAAAGAACTATTATACAAGGTATTATAGTTACAAAAAAACTGTTATAGGAAATTTTTCTTTAGAAGAAAACTGTTATATAAAAAATTTTCTTTGAGAAAAATTTTGTTATACAGAAAATTATATTTATAAAAGAACTGTTATATAGCATATTTCTTTAGAAGAAATTGTTATAAGAATTTTTCAAGAAAAACTGTTATACAAAAGGTAATTTTATAGAAAAAACTGTTATACTATTATACAGTAACTGTTAATTTATAAAAAACTCTTATATAGCATATTTCTTTGGAAGAAATTGTTTTTTAAGAAATACTGTTATACAGTAACTGTTATTTTTAATACATTTATTATAGAAAAAACTGTTATAAAGATTTTTTATACACTTTATACACTTTTCCTAGAGAAACTGTTATACGGATCCCATGATCGAGTAAAATTTATCGTGTTTTTCGTCGTGGTAGATTAGGTCTTTCAATATCGAACAAGTACATTTTAGCTTAATTTAGTTATCGAAATTCGTTTACAATACAAACGCTTATTCGATCACTTATTCGGTAGTTCGGCCTCAGATTGGATTTTTAGTTTGATACGTAAGATATTTCTAGAAAAAAGAGCTTTTTCTTTATCAAAAAGGAGCTTTTCTTTATCATTATCACGAAAAAAGAGCTTTTCTTTATCATTATCACTAAATCCGACTTTAAAAGAAATTTATGAATTTTGAATGGAATGTTCCAAATTTATATTTAGTCGCAATATTATTGAAATTTCATTAAAATTCCATTTTTATTAATGTCATTACAACATTTAAAATTTATTTTATATTAGTAATCAAATTTTACGAAATTTAAGTCAGTCCAAATATTTATCACTGCTGTACACTATATTTGGCATTTATGCAAATTTCAATTTTGAAATTTTTGAGAAATTTTGAGTCCAAATTAAAACAGCATAAATTCCAAATAAAAATTTATGATGTTAATTTAAGTTTAACATAATTTTGGCATTAATATTTACATTTAATGTTTTAAGGTAATTTTTATTTGCCTAAACAGTTAAATTTGCATAAATTCAAACAAAATCGTGCGAAATTTTAAAAACATATATAACAAGCAAATTTCATTAAGGTGTTGTTATTAAGAGATTTTGAAAGAATTATTACAACATTTTTTCATTGTATTTCAAATACATTTTATTTAATGGTGCATGATTTTTCTTGTTTATTTATTATTCCCAAAAAATTTTGTAGTTTTTGTTATACTTTCTCTTTCAAAAATTTCTTAAATACTATTAAACAAAAACAAGACATTTACATGATTCATGCAAAAATAATATAGAAAAATTTAGGCGTGTTTGCGTTATTAAGCTCCCTAACACCCAAATCCCAATTAAAGTCTGAGAAATTTGCATTAAAGCTGTAAATATTTCAATTGAATTAGTTTAAAGTTTCAAAAAAAAAAAAAAATTAATGGTCAAAATTTTCTTCTTTAACACCAATTGTTTGTTTGTCTATTGTTGCAAAATTAATTTAATTTCACTTTCTGTTATTTATTACCATAATTATGCTTACAATAGTTTGTTTTTGTTGTTACAATTTTTGAAATACAATTATTATTTGCTTTAAATTTTAAGTTCATTGCCAGCTTTCAAGTGGTTAAATTAAATTGTTTTTTATAACACGAAATACCAATTGACTTTTTAATGTTATTGTTTAAATTTCAAAATTGTTAGGAGTATAAAAAAGTAATAAAAATCTTAAACCAAAGCAACTTTAATGAGAAGAAAACTATAATAGAAATGTTCAGCTCTAATAAGAAAATTATTTGAAAAAAGAAAATAAAATCATTAAAAAGTGTTGAAAATCTATAAAAAGAATTGATGGAGAAAGACCATAGATTGATTTAATGAAATGTTTATAAAATTAATATTTCAATTTAACTTTCTACGAGAATTTGATCTCGAGTAACCTCAACGTTTACAGTCTACAACAAAAAGTAGAACGTTTTCACTATAATAAAAAGTTGTTTGTGTAACAGAAAACTATCAATAGATTGCCCGAGACTATAGACTACTCTTTAGTGGATAAATCACTCTCGAAACTAATATAGACTTATCTACAGACTACTCTATAGTAAAGACTATATACTACTTCATAGTCTATAGTCAACACTTTAAACTACTGCTTCGCCTAGATTATAGTATTCTATATAATCGAACTAATAATCTATTAACGTCACTTAACTAGAACTGAACTAGAACTGAACTAGAACTGAACTAGAACTGAACTAGAACTGAACTAGAACTGAACTAGAACTGAACTAGAACTGAACTAGAACTGAACTAGAACTGAACTAGAACTGAACTAGAACTGAACTAGAACTGAACTAGAACTGAACTAGAACTGAACTAGAACTGAACTAGAACTGAACTAGAACTGAACTAGAACTGAACTAGAACTGAACTAGAACTGAACTAGAACTGAACTAGAACTGAACTAGAACTGAACTAGAACTGAACTAGAACTGAACTAGAACTCGAACTGACCTAGACTGAACTAGAACTGAACTAGAACTGAACTAGAACTGAACTAGAACTGAACTAGAAATGAACTAGAACTGAACTAGAACTGAACTAGAACTGAACTAGAACTGAACTAGAAACTGAACTAGAACTGAACTAGAACTGAACTAGAACTGAACTAGAACTGAACTAGACTGAACGAACTGAACTAGAACTGAACTAACTGAACTAGAAATGAACTAGAACTGAACTAGAACTGAACTAGAACTGAACTAGAACTGAACTAGAACTGAACTAGAACTGAACTAGAACTGAACTAGAACTGAACTAGAACTGAACTAGAACTGAACTAGAACTGAACTAGAACTGAACTAGAACTGAACTAGAACTGAACTAGAACTGAACTAGAACTGAATTTGAACTAGAACTGAACTAGAACTGAACTAGAACTGAACTAGAAACTGAACTAGACTGAACTAGAACTGAACTAGAACTGAACTAGAACTGAACTAGAACTGAACTCTATAATCAAAAAGTTTAATTTCTTATTATATTAATATAATTATTCCAATTTTTACGTTTTAAAACATTCACTAATCTTCTATTATTTTCATATCTATTCCACAACAGAGGGACGTACTTTTGGTAAAATTCGCCGCTTGCAAATGGCTCTCATACCTATTGTTTTCAAATTTGGTGTACTCTCCGCCATGGTGGCCTTCCTAGTAGCGATCGGCATGAAAACTCTCTTCTTAGTCAAGGTCTTAGTGGTTATGAACTTACTGGCACTCTTAGGTAAATTCTTCACCCTTAAATCACACTTTGGTCATGTTGAACATGTTGCCGCCTCCTCCTGCCCCCACCTGGAATTGGACTCCTTATGCTAGCAATGGTTGGCAATCGTCTGCACCCGTAGAACATCATAGCAACAAGGAGATTCATTTACACATTCATGGTGGTCAAGGACAACCTCAAGTGAGCGGTTATTCGTATGGCAGTAGTGCGGCAGCAGCAGCACCAACTCATGGCTGGGAAAGACGTAATGATCCTTATAGTGCCTATGAGACTATGGCTTTGCAGGGTCAACAAAATGAATTGGTACCCAACGAATTGACTAGTTCACCAAATGATCAACAGTTTGGTAATTTCCCTGCCAATCATCGAATGCTTTGAAGAGAATAATAGTAAATAGTAATAAATAACTAGAGCTTTAGTTTCTGTACAACGAACGTAAAGTTTGCTTTGCGTTTTTGTAAAACAAGCTTTGAAATGTAAACTGGTCTTTAGTTAGTAATTTATTGTAATTAAATTTAGGAAGTATATAAATATTTTAAACTATTGCTTTATTTTGTTGTAATTAGTTTTAGTTCTTAAAAAATCCTTTGTAAAAATTATTTAAATTGAAGAAAATTATTTATGTAAATATTTATTTAAGTATGATGTAATTTATTTTAATTTAAAATTGTAAATTATTTGAAAGACAAATCAAAAATAAAGTACAAAAACATAAGAAAAAGAAAAAGTGTGAAATTCAAGGTTGTAGATTATGACAGCAGAATGTTGGCTGTTGTTAAGTATATAAAGGGTCCAGTTCAGTTCTAGTTCAGTTCTAGTTCAGTTCTAGTTCAGTTCTAGTTCAATTCTAGTTCAATTCTAGTTTAGTTTCTAGTTCAGTTCTAGTTTCAGTTCTAGTTCAGTTCTAGTTCAGTTCTAGTTCAGTTCTAGTTCAGTTCTAGTTCAGTTCTAGTTCAGTTCTAGTTCAGTTCTAGTTCAGTTCTAGTTTCAGTTCTAGTTCAGTTCTAGTTCAGTTCTAGTTCAGTTCTAGTTCAGTTCTTAGTTCAGTTCTAGTTCAGTTCTAGTCAGTTCTAGTTCAGTTCTAGTTCAGTTCTAGTTCAGTTCTAGTTCAGTTCTAGTTCAGTTCTAGTTCAGTTCTAGTTCAGTTCTAGTTCGTTCTAGTTCAGTTCTAGTTCAGTTCTAGTTCAGTTCTAGTTCAGTTCTAGTTCAGTTCTAGTTCAGTTCTAGTTCAGTTCTAGTTCAGTTCTAGTTCAGTTCTAGTTCAGTTCTAGTTCAGTTCTAGTTCAGTTCTAGTTCAGTTCTAGTTCAGTTCTAGTTCAGTTCTAGTTCAGTTCTAGTTCAGTTCTAGTTCAGTTCTAGTTCAGTTCTAGTTCAGTTCTAGTTCAGTTCTAGTTCAGTTCTAGTTCAGTTCTAGTTCAGTTCTAGTTCAGTTCTAGTTCAGTTCTAGTTCAGTTCTAGTTCAGTTCTAGTTCAGTTCTAGTTCAGTTCTAGTTCAGTTCTAGTTCAGTTCTAGTTCAGTTCTAGTTCAGTTCTAGTTCAGTTCTAGTTCAGTTCTAGTTCAGTTCTAGTTCAGTTCTAGTTCAGTTCTAGTTCAGTTCTAGTTCAGTTCTAGTTCAGTTCTAGTTCAGTTCTAGTTCAGTTCTAGTTCAGTTCTAGTTCAGTTCTAGTTCAGTTCTAGTTCAGTTCTAGTTCAGTTCTAGTTCAGTTCTAGTTCAGTTCTAGTTCAGTTCTAGTTCAGTTCTAGTTCAGTTCTAGTTCAGTTCTAGTTCAGTTCTAGTTCAGTTCTAGTTCAGTTCTAGTTCAGTTCTAGTTCAGTTCTAGTTCAGTTCTAGTTCAGTTCTAGTTCAGTTCTAGTTCAGTTCTAGTTCAGTTCTAGTTCAGTTCTAGTTCAGTTCTAGTTCAGTTCTAGTTCAGTTCTAGTTCAGTTCTAGTTCAGTTCTAGTTCAGTTCTAGTTCAGTTCTAGTTCAGTTCTAGTTCAGTTCTAGTTCAGTTCTAGTTCAGTTCTAGTTCAGTTCTAGTTCAGTTCTAGTTCAGTTCTAGTTCAGTTCTAGTTCAGTTCTAGTTCAGTTCTAGTTCAGTTCTAGTTTCAGTTCTAGTTCAGTTCTAGTTCAGTTCTAGTTCAGTTCTAGTTCAGTTCTAGTTCAGTTCTAGTTCAGTTCTAGTTCAGTTCTAGTTCAGTTCTAGTTCAGTTCTAGTTCAGTTCTAGTTCAGTTCTAGTTCAGTTCTAGTTCAGTTCTAGTTCAGTTCTAGTTCAGTTCTAGTTCAGTTCTAGTTCAGTTCTAGTTCAGTTCTAGTTCAGTTCTAGTTCAGTTCTAGTTCAGTTCTAGTTCAGTTCTAGTTCAGTTCTAGTTCAGTTCTAGTTCAGTTCTAGTTCAGTTCTAGTTCAGTTCTAGTTCAGTTCTAGTTCAGTTCTAGTTCAGTTCTAGTTCAGTTCTAGTTCAGTTCTAGTTCAGTTCTAGTTCAGTTCTAGTTCAGTTCTAGTTCAGTTCTAGTTCAGTTCTAGTTCAGTTCTAGTTCAGTTCTAGTTCAGTTCTAGTTCAGTTCTAGTTCAGTTCTAGTTCAGTTCTAGTTCAGTTCTAGTTCAGTTCTAGTTCAGTTCTAGTTCAGTTCTAGTTCAGTTCTAGTTCAGTTCTAGTTCAGTTCTAGTTCTAGTTCAGTTCTAGTTCAGTTCTAGTTCAGTTCTAGTTCAGTTCTAGTTCAGTTCTAGTTCAGTTCTAGTTCAGTTCTAGTTCAGTTCTAGTCAGTTCTAGTTCAGTCTAGTTCAGTTCTAGTTCAGTTCTAGTCAGTTCTAGTTCAGTTCTAGTTCAGTTCTAGTTCAGTTCTAGTTCAGTTTCTAGTTCAGTTCTAGTTCAGTTCTAGTTCAGTTCTAGTTCAGTTCTAGTTCAGTTCTAGTTCAGTTCTAGTTCAGTTCTAGTTCAGTTCTAGTTCAGTTCTAGTTCAGTTCTAGTTCAGTTCTAGTTCAGTTCTAGTTCAGTTCTAGTTCAGTTCTAGTTCAGTTCTAGTTCAGTTCTAGTTCAGTTCTAGTTCAGTTCTAGTTCAGTTCTAGTTCAGTTCTAGTTCAGTTCTAGTTCAGTTATAGTTCAGTTCTAGTTCAGTTCTAGTTCAGTTCTAGTTCAGTTCTAGTTCAGTTCTAGTTCAGTTCTAGTTCAGTTCTAGTTCAGTTCTAGTTCAGTTCTAGTTCAGTTCTAGTTCAGTTCTAGTTCAGTTCTAGTTCAGTTCTAGTTCAGTTCTAGTTCAGTTCTATTTAAGTTGTAGTTCAGTTATACAATAAAATTTCCAATACGAAAAAAAAACTTTCAAAATGTCATGGTCATGTCAAAAACAAAATAACTGTCTACAATAAAACAAAAGACTTAAACTGCGAACTTTTTTTTGCAAATCATTATTTAAAGAGTATTTGAGAGGTTTAATTATATATGTTAAAAACTCCTTCATAATTTCACTTTTTCCTAAATAAATTTACAGAATCTGTAAAAGTGATTTGTTAAATGTTTCATAGATTGCCTCAAACTAGTTAAAAAAGTGTTAAATCAATAAAAGTGAATAAAATTAATAATATACTTACTATAATATGTTTATTATTAGTAATCATTTCAATACTTATTATAGTCCCCTCAAAGTCATGTTAACTGTTTCATTTAACATGCTGTCAAATTAACACTTGTTATTATATTTGCTTTCGAGCTACATATTCCGATCGTTCAGTCGTTTAACATTTTTGACAATTGTAAAGCATTGTTTGGTTTCTTTCTTTTTTTTTGAAATAATGTGAGTTTTTGTGAATTAAAAATAAAAAACTATTTGATTTGTTTAAAGTTTTCTACTTTCATTTTCTAAAAATTTCTTATAAATAATGTTAAAAAGTAGTGTTTTTGTTTGCTATTTTTTGTAAAAAGAAATATTATGGGAAAGAACATTGTGCTAAACAATTTTCAACAAAGATTTGCTTTCTTTTCTAAAATAAATAAATTAAGTTAATTATATTAGTAAATGGTTTTACACATTTAAGTCGAAATGAAAATAATTAATTGGTTACCATTAAGATTTGGGAAATTTCTTTAAAATTCTGTTATTTTTAATGATTTGTTTAAAATCTTTAAAGGTGAAAGAAATATTTTTAAGAATTCAAAGAATAAAACGAAACTACTCTACTAGTCTTTCTTCGCTAATGGGTTAATTGTTGTTTTCAATGCATAACAGTTTTCGCAGTTAAATTGCTTTATTTATGAAATTTTTTCAGTTTTATAAAATTGTTCCACTGTTTCATTTCTGAAGCCTTAAGATATACTACAGATAGTTCATTATTGCTCTGTGATTGTTAACAATTGAAATAATGCCAAAAGTATTCAACATTTTTATTAAATATTTCTGTCTATTTAATAACAGGGTGTATGAAAGAAATATTTTATTTAGATTTGTTTTACAGTGTTGTAATGATTAGAAGTCTATATTGCAATTAACAATGTAATTTCTTAATTTTGATTTCAATGCAAAGATTAGGAGAGATAACATGGGCCTGAGATACATACATATGTATATAATGGGGGAACAGGGTATGGGAATAGCGAACAACAATGGTGAATGTTTTGCAGAATTAGGTCAAACTTTTGATCTAGTGATTGGAGGTTTAAAATCCCACACAAATATACATACGTACATCGACATCACCTAATGGCAATGTGAAAAACCAAATCGATGTACGAGTATGTCGAAAATAAGCTCTCGGGGCCTTGGTGTTATTGCAATCCCGAGGAAAAGAGGTGTTACCAGTAACTCTAGTCTGCCTGGGCTATAAACTGGTGATGATCAAATGTATCCTCGGCCTTTCCTTGGAATGATTTGATATGAACCACATAATCTGGTACCACGGGAACCTTAAACCCGCAGAGCAGAGTGTCTGATTTTGTCTTGTTCCTGTTATTGGAGAGGTCCCTTCGGGGTGCGGGATGAAAATATCGGATAAAAGACTGATGCACGGTAAAGTCTGTATATAATTCTGTATAAGTTCGGTGCTGTTGTCGATGTCAACAGATACCCCACAGAGGAGTGACTGTGAGATTAAGCGTTGGATGAATGAAGGAGTATACGGAACTTACCCATTTGTATACGTAGAGTGATTGTGTCGGATGTTGTGCTCAATTGAATGGTGATTGGATGAAAGGTATCTTAAGCAAGTGACACCATTATATTTTCCTTCCTTGCCCAGGTATGTTTAGGGTTTACTCTGTTCATACCAAATTTACAACAGTGTGTTCTCTGTGAGTAAGAACAAAGTCCTCGGCTTATTTGGTGGATTCATGTTTTGGTCTATCGTATACGTCTCTAGGTGCTGTTTGCAGACTCAACAGAAGTCATTCCATCTGCGTGTTTGCAGACGGAGATAATGTTTTTGCATCTCGGAAGTTAAGGAGCGGGGCAGCAATGGACAGAGATTAGATAGCTCGAGTACTTGCGCAAAATGCTTGTAAATGGACCGGCAGAACCATGTAAGAAACACAAAGGGGCGGTGGTGT